TAATAAAAAAATAGTAGCTCTATCTAAAAAGAAGAATTTAAAAAAGATAGTGTAATGTAACTTAATAATAAGAAAAATATGAGAAAATTATTAATAAAATATAAAAAGATATAGTTTTAATTCATTTAAACAAAACTTTAAAAAATATTTAATAATAAATTATAATTAAAAAACTTGAAAGTTAAAGAATAATTCAAATGATTAAGAAAGCAAAGCATTATTTTCTAAATTGTGTTTAAAGAAGATAAACTTTGATAACAAATTGTAAAGATTATATTGATGCTATATAATAAAAAATAAGTTACATTGTTTTGATGATAAATTAAAAATAAATACTTTTTTGCTATAAATAAAAAATATACTGTATATATTTAATTTATTTAGATTATTAAAAATTAAAATTTTAATTAAGAGAATTGAAAGATCGAAGCAGCTTTAAATTTATTTTCAAATTGTTTTAATAAATTTATAAAGAAGCATCATTTTTGTATCTAACCAATAAATGTACATATTTTTTGAATATATGCAATATACAGTACATCTCAAACTTCAAAAATTTTCAATTAATTTGATTATGTAACTAAAATCTGTTACATTCATGTACGAGCCTATCTGCTTGGTAATTTTATTTTAAAAGCAATTCCGCGCAGTTTACTTCTCACTATGACGATTTACGTAACATATTATTACCACTAACGCCAAGTACGATGGGTTACACCATATTCTGATAAATTATATTAATTACATCAATTTAATTTTCTCTATTACGCATTTATGTAATAAGAAATTCCGCGATACAATTTCGCGGTGGACGATGGATACCCGCCGTACAACTCTGACGGCACGAATTCACCCAGGCCCTCCCTTACTCACGACAAGCGTCGATATTAACAAGTCCGGCACCAATCTCGTCTTGAAAACTTGATTTGTACATGCAAAGAAAATGGTACATCGCTATCAATAATTTACATGATTTTATGATTTCTATTAAACAACTACATCTTCCGTCACTAGAAATCGAACCCATCAATATTAATCACACCGATAATTATTTTCTATTAAGGAGGAAGGGGTTGATGTTGATCACGAGTTCCAAGATTACTATTAATTCATCATTTTTTGTGCCGTTTTACTTTTTCCGAACACTCGAAGCAATACCATTTTCCTTTTGGCCGATCGGTGAGTTTAACGCATGCAAAATGAAACCATTCGATCTCGCATTCGGTATTGTCACAGGCCACCATCTCACCATAGCTGACTTGCTTGCAATAACAATATATCGGTTCATTTGGGTCAATGGGCATATCCGCTACAGTTTGCGTGTCCCCGTTTGTGGTCGACTTTTCGGATGAAACTTTTTTGTTGTTCTTTCCGTTCTCTTTCTTTCTCGAAACCTTTCCAGGTTTTTTCGCGTTCTTTGTCTCCATTGTTTTTGGATGGTGGTGGAGTTCCCGTATCTTTCACCGTTTTGCTTTTCTTTCTTGCGTTCGTTTCAACGCCGTTGGTCGTTCGTTTTTCCGATTTTATCTCTTTTTTATCTTTTTCATTCTTTGGAGCTTGCTTGCGAGGTTCTTCGCGGGAGGAAGAAACGGTGGTTGAAGAGTTTATTCTGCCAGGTCCCGTCATTTGCTCGTCCTCAAACTTTTGAAGGTCGTCGTCCAACCTTCTAATATGACGGTCTACGGTGTCATAAGTCGATGTAGCAAGAGACACCCTTTCTTCGGCGAATTTTCCGGTCGCCGACAGATTGCTGCTAAGCTTTTTGAGTTGCTCCACTCTATCCTCTGGACTGAGTTCGTGTATATGCTCTATCAGTTGCACGGAAAGTTCGGCGACCTTGTCGAATTTTTCTTGTGCACTTGCGTCAAGTTGCTGCATTAGGGTGAAGCTGCGTTGCATCTCTGCAGGCAATGACTCTAGAGTGTCAAGGTAATCGTCAAGATATACCAGGTTTTGTTCAAAGCGATTTGTGCTGAAATGATGACTCGGCATTGTAACTTATGGGGGAAGTTGAATGTGTGGGATAGTTAAACTTTGTGTTCGTATCGGCATTTACATAGTGGAATTTAATTGGATAATAACAGTGGCTTAGAATAAAAATACGTAAACGTAAACTCTAATTTAAAAAATTGATTTCTTAATTTTCTACAATGAGTCAGGCAACTCCTTCCGAACTTAAAAACGCTTTCCCTAAACTTCAAATCAAAACTCGAAAGCAATATAAAAAAACCCTATTTCGTACCGGACAATCTCAAATACATTCCACTTCTAACTATTCCTCACAAAGTCAATTTAGAATTGAAAAATCAGAATTACAAACAGTAAAGAAAGATTTAAGTACCCTTATACTCAACTCAATAAATCGAAAAAATAAATTAGTTACCCTAGTAGAAAATCTGAATTTATGGTCAACTTCAAGTAGTGGCACGAGTATACCGGGCAACGCGGTCGGTTCAATAATTCATGGTGTAGATTCCATTTCAAAAAAGGTCAGGAGCTCTGCGGTCGTGAGAAGTCCAAGTAATCATCGATTAGGAAGTCCGAATTTCCGAGTAGGGAGTCCCAGCGTTCACAAAAATAGCTCGAAAGAGAAGGGATCCAAGAAAAGAGGATCGATAAGTCTCAAGATCAAAAAGGAAGAATCGGGTACGTTGATGTTTGATGACTCGGTTTACATATTCCAAGCTGCATAAGATAATGGTTCGAATTTTAGACCTGGATGAACATTTTATCTCGACTCCTCAACGACGGGAATCTGTGAAGTCCAACAAGTGAGCGAGAATTATTCGTACTAACCTTCATTATGGATGATCAAAGTCGTAATTTTATCTACTATTCTTTAGTGGTCCTCGCCGAAAGAAGAAGGCCTCTACGAAGAGAGAAAGGGAAATATCTGATGACGACAGTGACTACTCAGATTATGATAAACCCCATACCAAGGATTCAAAAAATTCAACACAACGAATAGCACAGAATTCAGTAGTTATACATATTTAATTCTGCTTGTGCTGGATATGTGAACCGTTCCAATATTTACACAACCAAAAAAAAACAAAAACAAAACAACTCATAGGGTAATGCAAGAGGTGCATACAAGAAAAGGATGCGAAGTACTACAGAAACCGTTCCTAAGGCTGAGGAGGACACTCCTGTCATAAAATTAAAAGATCAGGTGGCAATCAAAACTTTTTATGAATATGTAGAGCCTTATGTCCGGGACTACACAGATGATGATGTCAACTTCCTGAAAGAAAGGGTAATCAATCAAGTTAGCGCACCTATAAATTCCTAATTCTTTTAGAATAACTAAAAAGAAACATTCTTTTATTTTCAGGAAGACGACGTGTCATTGTATATTATTCCAAAATTGGGGAGAAACTACGCCGAGGTTTGGGCTGAAGAAGAGTGCAACCTTTTCCCACAAACTCCGGAGGAACTCGAGGCCAGACATGTTGACACTGTGGATGGGCAGCGCCGGACACAGGAGTCAGACATTGAAGGAACTTGTGGACCTCTGACTGAAAGGCTTCTTGCCGCTTTTTTAGAGAGGGAGGAACCCGTGACAGTGGTTGCTTCTCCCGGAGAGACCCAAGTAAATGGAAATCATAACGGGGGAGTGAATTCACCCGAAGGCACACAAGTCAATGGGTATCATCCGGAAGCGGTCGAAGAGCATAGGGATATGTTCAATATGGACGAAAGATTGAAGAGAGAGCTAAAAGCTTTAGGCATAATGGATGAGGAGGATGTTAGTGTGCATATTATGCATGCAGATTGTTTTTCATTCGTGATTTGCGATTATTAATAAATCTGAACACTGTAGGTTCAGTGGGATGAAAGAGAAGACGATGAAATAAGCATCCGGTTGCGCGAGCTGCAGGAAAAATTGCGGCAACAAGTGAAAATCAACAATTATCGTAAAGAAGTCCTACTGAAGAAGGTCAAAGACCGATTGGCATATGTTGCGTACAATAATTACCTGGACGAAACTGACTCTCAAATCGAAGAATGTTATTTGGCCCGTTTCGTACGTATTTTTTTTTTTTTTTAAAAAAAAAAATAATCATGTCATTAAAAGTTGTACGTTCATCTCAAAGCCCGAAAAAGACAAAAACGGAAAGGTTTCCAAGACAAAAAAGAAGAAGATCGCTCCTACCCTTGAAGAAACAAGGCCCATTCTTGAGCAACGGAAACAACTGATAGAATCTTTTTCGGCACTCTTTCAATCCGAGGACAAGTATCTTTTTGTCCCTGGCCGAAAAATTTTCAATAAAGAGGAGGAATCTAAATTGTGAACTTTATTCTCTGATTGAATCCCTTTTCGTGATTACACTTGATATCACAAAATTTATTATTGTCTCATGATATAAACACATTGTCTTTATCATAGATTCACATAACCCAGGATACTCACCCATTTTATGTAGATCAAAGCACTGTTAAATAATGGAAATATGTATTAAAATTATTTTATATGAAAAACCTATATATCTTTTTGTAATTTAATAACACAATAATGTGTAAATTTTTTTAAAATTTAAAATATTCATGTTATGTAATTACAGTATATAATATTAATGCTAATTATTAATAAAGCGAATCGGTGAATTTATATCAATCCTTTGATAATGATTAAGGATACATAAAGCCCGTCGGTGATATAATTGAAGAAATTCGATTTATTAATAGTTGTGTTGTATGTGTATGTGTACGCCTAGTACGCCATAGAACACCAAATTTTATAAAGCACGCGAATTCCTTGTCGAGGTATAAGAGAGAATTTAAGAAAGTGTGACCGATTTCCAACCTATTTACATCATGCAAAACTCAAAACCCCATGAAACGTGCTAGTATGGATTGAAATCGAAGCACTTTTTTTTTTTTTTGACTTAAATTATTATACAATTTTTTTTTATACCATTTTGTTGTGATGATTCAATAAAACAAAAAGAAAAAAATGACTTCTCACTAATACTTATTATTCTATATTACAGGCTACGGATCGCACTCGTTTGGCCGCCGTGCCAAGTAATCGATTCGATTTATTACTTTTTTTCTTGGTAATAAAATATCATTGATTTTATTCAGAAACAAAATTTTCTTCCGGATCCGGTAGTCCACCGAACCCAACATTAAGTTCTAATTCACGTTCCATGAAACGAAGCATATAATAATCCACATGATCTGGTGTCTCGTCGCCGGTCTCGACCATCTCATTGGCCATACGCGGTGACGGAGCCGTAGATACTGAACTCGCACGTCTCGCAGCGGAGCTTTCTGCCGGTGTGTCAGTATCGGCAAAATCCGTCAAGTCAAGATCCATTTCGTTCCGCGCCACCTTGGCCGCGTTAACGTCAGTAGCATCTTCAACCTCCGCAAGGCATTGTTCCAACTCGACACCGGAACTTGGCTCGTCGATTACATCTCTTACACGATGAGGTGCAATGTCACTGACAAGCTCACGCCAGTCCATCTTCTGGAAATAATCGGTTGTAAATTCTCCGTCCGTGATCACCATTTTATCCAACAGCCGTTTTTGATTAGCCTTTTGCAGCATGTTTTCCTCGATGGTATATTCGCTGACAAAACGATAAATGTTGACCTCGCGCGTCTGACCAATTCGGTGACATCTAATAAAAATTTTGAAATTCACGTGTTAGAATGTGCTCAAAATAGAAAACTTATGTTCCCATCTTATTTCCAAAAAAAAAAATACCTGTCTTGACATTGACGGTCCATGCATGGGTTCCAGTCAGAATCATAAAATATGACGGAATCTGCTCCCGTCAAATTAATTCCCAACCCCCCGGATCTCGTTGAAAGTATGAACACTAAAATTTTTGGATCGTGATTAAAACGTTCCGTCAATAACTGACGTTGCTCGATTTTCGTAGCACCGTCCAGTCGAAGATAGCGATGTCCATGAATGTTCAAAAATATTTCTAATATATCAAGGACTCGTGTCATTTGAGTGAAAATTAATGCACGACGTCCGTTTTCCTTAAGCTTCCGAAGCAGCACATCCAATTCTTGAAGTTTACCGCAATCGTATTGCAGCAATCTCTTGTCGGGGAAGGCGACCTGAAGTTTAACGCGAATAGGATGATACAAGTCTTGCACTTGATCGTAAATCATTAAACGCATCTCTTCAGGTAATCCGGCTAATGCATATGAGGCTACGTCCCTTGCAACAACCGCCGGAGTAACAAATGCATATTGTTTTATGATATCTTCCATCATGTTATATCGACGTTCGTAGGATACGATCATTTCTGTGAGTGACTTTGTATGATCAAAGAACTTTCTGGGATTGTTCGCATCGACTAAAGCGGTGCTACATATAGTCGTGCCTAGTTGGCGACATAGTCTGTACAAGCCTGATCCGTATATTGGACGACGTTTGAGACGAAAAGAATTAATATATCGCATATGACTCCATCTCTGCACATTATCTAGGCGAGCGCGCAATTCCATCGTTTTACCAAACTCCACGAAGCTGTTATATATCGTCGCCTTCCCGGTATCCGTAATTTCCTCTGTTGTATCGTAATTTTTAATTCTCTCCAAAAACCTTCCTTCTGAATTCAATTCCCAACACACTTCCGAAGTAATCATACTCTGGTCGTTCTCAAATTGAATTGGAACAAGATTCAGAAAATCCACGTTTAGCATATTAATCCGATTAATATTTCTTAGGATATTCCGGCGAACCACAAATTCGGAAATCTCGTAATCCGCCAGAACGGACTTTGACATGGCAAACGACGTTCGAATGGGCCGCACTTCGAATAAGTCTGGATGATTGCAGACCTTGCGTAATTGCATGAGGCAGTTAATTATACTCAAAAAATTTCCAGATTGAAGTGTTTCTTTGGTTTTGGCCCGGGACATGAAGTCATCGTACAAAAATCGCTGTCGTTTGGAAAGACGGCATTTAATTATATGATGGTGTTTCGCAGGAAGCTGCTTTTCTACGTCACTTTTCAAACGACGCAGAAGATATGGTCGCAGGACGGTGTGAAGTTTTTGAACCGCAGAGAGGGTCTCATCATCAAATTGTTCATTATTTTCGATCATTCTATCTACAGGACGCGAAAACCACTCTTGAAACTCCTTTTGATTGGCAAACCCAAGAGGCATGTCTCCCGAGACTCCGTTGGGCATCAAGAAGTATAATAAAGACCATAACTCCATGAGGTTGTTTTGTAATGGAGTCCCTGTGAGTAACAGCCTTCTTTCAGAGTTAAAGTTCAGTAAAGTCTTCCACCTCTGCGATTGAAAATTTTTAATATTATGCGCTTCGTCAAGAATCAAATAATGCCATTTCTTTTTCTTGAACACGACTTGATCTAAAACAACGAGGTGGTAAGAAGTGATGCAGACGTGAAAGGTATGCTCTTTCATCCAACCTATTCGTTTTTCCCTTCGCTCTTTCGGACTCCCATAGTATGTTAAGATTATAAAACCTGGGCACCACTTTTTAAATTCCATCTCCCAATTGATGATAACGCTGGTAGGCACGACGATCAGGTGTGGACCCCAGTCGCCCTTTTCAAAAGCCAGATGCGCCAACAAAGCAATTGTCTGAATGGTCTTACCCAGTCCCATTTCATCTGCAAGAATACCATTTAACCCATTGTTGTACAAGCTGGCGAGCCAATCAAGGCCAACGTGTTGATATTCACGAAGCTTCCCTCTCAGTAACGGTGGAATTTGAGTACGCACATTGGTGGTCGATAAAGTGGTTCCAGTGGGCGGCTCCGGTCCTTTCGTGGTCTCGGCGGGGTTTGATACATTTTCGCTTTCTCGAGTTTCATCATTAGGAAATTTATTTTCTTCTTTATGAGTGATTTCATTTGGCTCAGCTATCAACAATTTCGTGGTGAAATCCTCATCTATGTCCATACGATCGATGGATTCTTCTACATCATGTTGACCTACATCCTTGTTCAACGCTGTACCATCAAATGAGTCCTCAAGATTACATTTTCCATTGCTTTCAGCGTTTTCTACGGTTGCACAACTTTCGCTGTTGGATTTCACTTCACTACGAAAATCTTCGTCTTCATTATACGATTTGGCGTCTCCGTTTGCCACGATTGTCATCGTCGTTTCTACTTCGTCAGTTTCGCTTTCTACCCCTGCATTGTCACTGGGAAGACAGCTATAACGTTTCAGCAGTTCCTCTATCGGGAGCTTTGATTCATTCTCCAATTCATCCAACTCCAGTGCCTCCTCCTCGGAATTTTCCTCAAGTTCTTGTTCATCCAATGACGATTCGTGATCTTCGTCAATCTGGTCAGGTGACATCATAAATTCCTTGTCGTCGATATACGGATCTTGAACAGTGGTGTCTAACTTGAATTCACGGGACGATGTTCGGGCGCGTAATCTTCCTCGTTTTGTATCATTCGTAATATCCGCTTGACCATTAAATGAGATCGAAGGTGATACCGATTTTGAGGGTTTTATGTGACTTGAAGATTCACTTGAAACTAAATCTGAATTTTTATCAGTGAGAGAAGTGATAGCGCATTCGCCGGAAACATCGGTTACAAATTTCTTATTACCTTTAACGGCACGCTCTTCGTCACATATGGGGTAATCGTATTTTTCCAATAGGTCCTCGAGTGGAAGATCTTTTTCGTCTTGCAAGTCACGAATTTCATCATCATCCGATGATTCTACTTCTGCTTCTTCCGTACAAGAATGTGACATTCGGTCATAATCGGGCGAATCTTTGTCAACCTCAAATTCGGAATCTTCCGTGTTATACTTTTCCAGGTCGTCACATTCTTCATAAGTGTTGCCAAGTTTGACATTGGTATCGATAAAATTCTTACGAATTCGTTTAGACCGAGTTCCCAATAGTTCATTTTGCTGGACCTCCAGCATCTGAGTGGAATGTTCAATGAGCAGGTTCAGGTGACGCTTTCCTTCACGCTCTTGTTCTTCACGAAGCAATTCTTTGTGTTTCGCCAGTACAATCTAAAGAACCGATTGTTGAGTCAAAAAAAAATTTTGGTAGCTGTTATGAGTTGTTTTGGATTTTAGATAATCGATTTAAAGCTTTAATAAAAGATAAACACGTTATGTACAAAAGATGACTGACCGACTCGACCGTTTTCCATTTCTGTTTGACAAGGTTCGCCGTGGTCTTGGCTAATTTTTTGATCCGTTTTTCCTCCAGCTTTCTTTCCCTTGACCCTTGATTTGCCAATTTAAAGAAATGTTGCGATACCGCCTTACTAATTTGACGCGTGATTCGAAACTTTGCTTCTGTCAACTTGTTCATGTATTTCGAGTGTTGAGTGACCGCGTCGAGCAGGTAATCCCAGTGAACCTTAGAGCGAGGCGGTTCGAGAGCTGGCTTGGAGACTTTATTTAGTCTTCCCTCATTTTTCAATACCCAGATACGGTACTGAAGCTCGGCTTCGTTCTGTGCCCTCAATTCTTCTTCGGCCGGAGTTATATCTTCTTCATCTAAGGTTACGAAGGACTCCAAGTAATCCTTCAGGCTAGAGAACTGAGCGTGACCACGTCGACGAAGTGAATAGGATGACAATCCCCCGGCAAAAGTTATTTCGCGATTTCTGGAGGACTCCGTCCTTGAGGTCCTACGGGAACCGCGGGTATTTGCCCCTGGTTCCCAAGATACGGAATCAGGCTGAACTTCCACGTTGAATCCACGCGAACCGACGGATTTTTGTAACATGTTGACAATTGTTTCGCGATGTTTGGTGAGCGAATGACGAGTGGACATCCGTTTGGAATTTGATTGGATATTGACAACTTGATCGTTCAAGGTGGACCACAAGTTGTGACTTGCCAAATACTAAGATGTTATTATTCCGTAACAGCCCATGGCACCACAAAAACGAATTTATTTAAATAAAATAGATTGGGCATCAGTACGTAATGATAAAGCATGTCATATATCAACATTTAATTGTTTTATGCATGCTTAACAAAATCTGAGATGGTTGCCTTTACAGCCCCATATTAATTTGGTTAACCTTTGAATCAAGGCAACGGCACGAGAAAATCGTACCTTAACCATACGCTCGCTATTGTCCTGTTTTATTGTCTGCGGGTCGAGGTTATTTAGCAACAAATGGTAAGATTCCATGTAATATAGCTCTCGGATCAGGGAATCATGATCGTCCACGACCTTCACGAGTTCTGCCTCCTTCTCCGTTATCTTCTTTTCACGAAGTTCTTCCAGGGGTGATTTTTTCTTCTCGGTTGGTTCGGATGACTTGTTTTTTCGGAATGATTCTTCGCTATTAAAATCGGTTTTCGATCTCTTGCGTGGGGTGGACTCCTTCTCAGTGGACCTCTTGTTACCTTTCCTTTCAGACTCTGTGGGGTATGAATCAACTCCTCTATTCTCCGTAACCTTCCTTTTCCTTTCACTCTGCCTCGCAGATGAGTCGTTATTTGAGGGAAGGGAAGGTTGAATATTTGGTGGTAATGGGTTCTTACGTGGCCTCCCTGGTCCCCTTTTTACAGGGGTACCAGAAATGGAACTAATTGATGTTGTATCGTTATTATGCGTTGGAACATTTGACGTGGGAATTCCCGGCCCTCCATTGGCGGGCGTATCGAGAGCGTTCGCGAAATTGAGTGGCGATGAAGACGCGACTACAACAGAGGGTTGAGTCGAAGGCACTCTTGTGACAGGGGTGGTTAAAGAAGTGGTTGTTGCGTCTGGACCAACTTTAGCAAACTTAATTCTTAAGGTAGACCCGTTGGGTAAAGAAGAGTGTGATGTTTCTGTGTTTCCTCGTACGTGACTAACGTTTGTGCTTACCGAAGATGTTTCGATTCCCTCGAAAACGATTGATTTCCGTGGTCGACCGGGACCTCTTCGATTAGTTGATAAAGGTGAAAAGTGTTCTTGGGGGGTTGTGGTTTCTGCCTGAGCAGGTTCTACGTTATTTACAGTGATATACGCAGAATCTCTGATTGATGTCGTATTCCTCACTATCTTGGAAGCATTTCTCAGCGACCTTCGTGTCGAAGTTGCTGCGGACACGTTTTCATTATTGTTCACACGCGGTTTCTCTTCTATTTCTGCGACTTTCGCAGTATCTGAGTTTTGAACAATGTTTGGAGTTGAAATTGGCACGGCAAATACGTTTGTTTCAACCTCGTTCTGAAGTTGTCTGGTTTCACTCATTTTTATTTTTTCTGTACAACTATTAATCTCTTTATGTGCATTTGAGGGTACTGTCCTACAAGCTGCCACCATTGTAGCGAGTCTTGCTCATACTTGGGTGTTCAGAAAAAATATAATTGTCGTATCAACCGTTAGTGTGGCGAAGAAGTCTTCGATTTTTTTTTTTCTTTCGTCACTTTTTTTTTTCCCTGCAAAATGTCGTATAACCGACTCCTTTTTTGCCTTTAAAGGTCGATGATGATAAGATAAGGTAAAAGGTGACACAGTGATTGGCACAATACAGTAAGTACGACATACGTAGATTTATATAAATAATGATCGTATACAAAGCATCCAAGATGTTGACAAATCAAATTAAACTTGTAATTATAATTTCTAGTTTCGCCACGTTTTAAAAGCCATTCAAAAGCAGCAGCAGCAAAATAAGAGAACAAAGTGAACTTTCAGCGATTTAGTTTTTTAATTTAGCAAACTTGGTAAAAGAAATATTCTTCACATTCAAAACTGCGCGTAACATGCCATGTGGTAAATAACTGTATTAGAAGTGGGTTTCTTCAAACATTGATTTTTAAGACAAAAATACAATTCTTTGTTGTGCAATTATTTGACGATAAATCTGTTTCTTCTGTCGAAAAACGGTACAATCAGACAAGCGTTTAAAGTTTTTCTGTAAAATTTAAAATATATGTTTATTTTAACTATATATAAAATGATAATTAACTTATTATATTATAGTAATGAATTAATTCAAATTAAAGAAATTTTTTTTCAATAATAGATAAGTTAACAAGTAAATGTTAATTTTTTTTTTTTTAATCTACAATTATGTCATTATGGCATATCTTTATGAGATATTAAGTAAAAATCTATAATATTGTATGAACTTTTATATGATAACTAATTTGTTTTTATAGTGATAATTTGTGAATAATAATATTAATAGTTAAAAGAATTTTTATTTGAATTATTGATAGAGCAATAAAGTTATAGTTAAAGTTTTAGATACAAAATATAAAATAAAGATAAATAAGTAAATAATTATTTAACTTTAACAAAATATTTTAAAATATATATAATAAAAAAGAATGGTTTATAGAGTTGTTTCTCTTTAATTGAGCAAGTTTTCAAGAAAAATAATTATAATATCAAAAGATAAATAAAAAATATATAATATATAAATATTTATAAAATATATATACCTAGTTTAATAAAGATTTTTTTTTTAAAAAAAAAATTAATTTATTTTTGCATATTATTATATTATTTAAAAGTTTACAAGATTTCAATTCTTTTTTAAAAAAAATTTTTTTTATTATCTAAAAAACTTAATAAAAAATAAAAGTACTATATTATATGTTTTTTATTTATCTTTTAATATTATAATTATTTTTCTTAAAAACTTGCTCAATTAAAGAGAAACAACTTTATAAACCATTCTTTTTTATTATTAATAATATTATTAAAATACATAATTGTAATCAATAAAAGTTTATTTATATTATTAAAACTAAATATTTTATATTGATTGATTATTTTTTATAAAAATTGTATTTAATATTCAAAATTTTAAAATTAAATTAAAATAAATAAAATTTTTTAAAAAATTATAAAAATAAAAAATACAAACAATCAGTAAAAAGAAAATAAATCTTTTTACTATAAAAATCTTTATAATTAATTCAAAGATAAAAAAGATTTCAGTTACTTTATAATCAGTTTATTTTTTAAAAAAAATTTTTTTGTCATTAGTAGTAAAGATATTTAACTGATTTTTTTTACTATTAAAATTAAGTTTTTAATAAAAAAGATCTATAAATAAAAAAAATAAAATAAAAAAACTCTTAAAAATATTTTTCAAATTGTTTAGAAAAATATTAAGACTTTTAAATAAATATAGTTACTTCCAAAAGTTTGAGTTCACTTACTATTGTGATCAAATTTATATTTGACTGGTGTGTCCAAGTGGAATTGCTTTTAAAAGGATAATTCCCAAAGAAATAATTAAAAAAAAGATTTATAATAAAGAAATATTCAAGAAGAGATTTACCAAGAATCCTTAAAACAGTATCACACAGTGTTTCACAAGAAATATGGTTCGCTCAGAACCCAAGTTTATTAATAAATCAAGAAAACTAG